AACAGTCGAAACGTTGTGATAAATATAGCAACAAAGATGAGGACAATAGTCCAAATAATGTAAATAGTGTACATAATACCTCATCTCAGAAATAGAGAAACTCTGGTGAACTGTTCAACCCATTCAGCTAATGGCCTATTAACCTTTTACCTCTTTTTGGGAAACTCCTAGAGGCCCTAATTAATACTGAATTGGTTCATCATCTCTCATCACAAAACCTTTTCTCAGACAAGCAATACTGCTTTTACTTCTTCTCATCAACTGCTGATGTACTAACTATAGTTGCGGAAAGTGTCTATCATGCTCTAGATAAAAACAGCGAAGCTCAGGCAGTAGCATTTGACATCTTGAAAAGCTTTTGATAGGGTCTGGCATTCAGGTCTTCTCTAAAAGCAGAAAAGTTATGGTATCTCTGGTCACATTTTTGAACTGATCCTGTCATTTCAATCAAATTGTGAAATGAAAGTTATCCTGAATGGCCACTCATCTACTTCCTTTAATACTAACACGAATGTCCCCAGGCTTCATTAGCAACCTTCCCGATGACATCAGATCTCAACTTGGCATCTATGCGGACAACATTATCATTTACTTCTGCCTTGATAGTAAGGCTGATCAGTCAGACAAGGTCAAGATCACAGCTGATGTACAAAGAAACCTAAAGACTGTTGTTAACTGGGGCAAAAGATGGCTTGTCAATTTTTTGCCCCCAAAATTAAACTTCTCTCCATTACTCATGTGAGAGACACCTCTCTGCCTTCCATCAGCATGGCTGATGCTATCCTCCACGAAAGTGACTCATAGTGTCTTCTCTTTCTGGCTAATGTTTTCAGTTGGCATGAGGTGGAAAGACGACATTGAATCCATTCCAAGATCAGCTGCTAAGAAAGTCAGTTCACTGTGTGGAGCAAGAAAATTCTTCTCATCAGAATCTATCTTGCATATCTATCAGTCTACCATTTATCCATGCTTAGAATATTGCTGCCATATATGATCCAGTGCCCTTGCTGTTTACCTGGAGCTCCTTGCTAAAATCCAAAGAAGAATCAGCAATATTATTGATCCTGATCTGGTGGCTCAGCTTTAGTCACTTGCCCACTGCTGTAAGGTTGCCTCTCTGTGCCTTTTTTATAAATACTTTCATGGTAATTGTTTGCATGAGCTCTTCACTATGCTACCTAGACTGTATGAATTTAAGTGCAATACTAGACTGACTATTTACCTGGAGCTCCTTGCTAAAATCCAAAGAAGAATCAGCAATATTATTGATCCTGATATGGTTGCTCAGCTTTAGTCACTTGCCCACCACAGTAAGGTTGCCTCTCTGTGCCTTTTTTATAAATACTTTCATGGTAATTGTTCAGATGAGCTCTTTGCTATGGTACCTAGACTGTATGAATTTAAGCGCAATACTAGACTGGTGGCGAGATCTCATCAATTTACAGTTGAGTTAGGTGGATGTAGCTGTAACTTCTATGCTGACAGTTTCTTTTCTCACACTTCTCACTTGTGGAACTCCCTTCCGGCTCTTTGCTTTCCAACCAACTTTAATTTTGAAAAATTGAAATGCAATGTCAATCACTATCTACTGTCCTCCTGATTGCTCTTTTCTGTTTCTCCTCATTAATAATGTTTCTGTTCCTAATTCCTACACACCATCTAACCCGTTGCATGTTAGTGGCTGTACTGCTTTGCTTAGGGTAATACTGATTAAAAAAAAATATATATATATATATAATTATTTATTTTTGTCTACTGGTCTGAATATTTGAGATCACCAACAGGATTTGATTCTGTGTCCTTCTGGACAGAGGGGGGATATTGTTTGACGAAGCACCTTTGAACTGAGCTTTAAAGAACCAGTCAATCAGGCACGGCTGAAATTCTGCCTTTAAATGAAACTTCTTTTGTCATAGATCTCTCAAATATTTTTAATGTCTGTACAGTATTGTGTCCAAAAGCAATTTTTCTAAAGAAAGTTTATTAATCTGACATGTTTTTGTCACTTTAAACAATATTTTTAGTGGATACTTGTATTTAATTAAACACTTTAAACAGTATATTTATTTATTTTCATCTACTGGCCTGAATGTTCGAGAAATCTTAGTAAACAAAACTTTGCACTCTCTTGCAAGATTCAAGCTGCATCCTCCTAGGCAAAGTGAACTATTGTTAGACCTGACATGCTCTAACAAATTGAGGTCCGGAGACTTTCGATCAGGCAAGGCCCAAATTCTGCCTTTAAGTGAAACTTTTTCTCTTGTGATAGATTTCTCAAAATTTCACTGATTTGATCAAAAAAGTTGTGCAAATGAAGTAATGCATCCCAAACGAGTCAATATCTTAATTAAAAAAAAAAAAAAAAATTTGCATTGTTTTTCAGTGATAATTAAGCGGGTGTCAACCTTCTTTTTTTTTTTTAAAGAAAGGTTGTGATTTTGCATTTTGATAATTTACCAAGTTTTCCATAACTTTGTCCCTCTGCTTCTATCATTTTGTTTTTAAGATATTCTAATATTTAATATCTTTAAATGATTTATTATAACTCAGCAAAAATAGAATGGTGTTGAAAAAAAAATGATTGCTTTCACAGTCTCGTTTCCTCAGTTCCTGACGACTAACATTGAAATATGAAATATTTCTCAACATCCCCATTACACACCTTTTCTTCAAAGGGAGACCAAGGGAATGTTGGCTTCCTGCCTATCCTACCTACTGATTTCTATCACTTAATTGGTAGTTTCAAAAGGCTTTCTTCACATTGCTATAGTGTTGCAAGCCTGAATTTGATTTAACTCTAGTCTGGATGAAACAACTGAACAGGATTTTCAGCATGAGTGAAACAGAAACTGAAAGAGAGAGGTTGTAAATTTTTTTTTTCTTTTTAAAGGGATTTAAAGGATTAAAAGACTTAAAGGTATTAAAGGAATTAAAAGGAGAAAAGTAATTAAAGGGATTAAAGAAATTAAAGGATAAAAGGATTAAAAGGATTAAAGAAATTAAAGGGATTAAAGGAATTAAAAGATTAAAGAAATTAAAGGGATTAAAGGAATTAAAAGGATTAAAGAAATTAAAGGGATTAAAGAAATTAAAGAAATTAAAGGGATTAAAGGAATTAAAGGATTAAAGAAATTAAAGGGATTAAAGGAATTAAAAGGATTAAAGAAATTAAAGGGATTAAAGGAATTAAAGAAATTAAAAGGATTAAAGGGACTAAAGGAATTAACAGGATTAAAAGGATTAAAAGATTAAAGGGACTAAAGGAAATACAGGGATTAAAAGGATTAAAAAAATTAAAAGGATTAAAGGGATTAAAAGGATTAGAGGAATTAAAGTGATTAAAGTGGTTAAAGAGATTAATTAGATCCCAAAACAGTGAAATATCACTTGAAAGTCATGCTTTTTCCAAAACTGATCAGTCATCAAATTTATTCAGATGAATGCAGAACATTTACTACTTTGAAAATTCCTCACTGGGCACACTGAGTACTCTTGTGCACTAGATGCAGCACATTGGCCATATTTAGTGCAGGCAGGGTCTATACTAAGCCATTGATAATGTTCCATTACAGTGGAAGCATCCATGTCACTCTTACCAGCTCAAGTTTTTGGTGGGTGGGTCTGCTGGTGGCAGAATCGCTTCTCCACTAAAATTTACATCTTTTTGTTATTTTGGAAATTAATTGTTTTTATTTGCGCTATGCGTTACTGTAATTGCCAGTTAGAGAAAAAAGAAATTTTTAACCCTGCATTGGTTACCTCAGATTTCTGAAAATGCAGAGTCCACAGGCATCTGCTTCCCACAACAACTGAGCTACAACTGCAGCACATCGTGCGCTACACACACCCTTACTGTGTCAGGAGAATAGTGGGAAGGAGCAAAGAAAACAAGCTGCCAACAAGGAATCATGAGTACTTTAAAGATTGTGAGGTAAAAAAACACCCAACATTACTAAGACAAGGTTAACTGAAAACAATCAATGTGCTTTGAATTGCTACCTTCAAAGTGACCTACTTGCAAAAACATAAAGAAAATATCAATCATTTTCCCACTGCCATAAGGTTGTTTCCCTGTATCTTTTCTAAAAATACTCTTATCGTAATTGTTTGGATGAGCTCTTTGTAAACGTTTCGAATTTAAGAACTAGACTGGCACCAAGATTTCAGTTGAGCTGCCTAGATGTTGCCAGAAGTTCTATGCTAACTGTTTCTTTTCTTGCACTTCTCGCTTGTGGGACTCCCTTCCAGCTCCATGCTTTCCAGCCAACTTTAATCTTCAAAAATTTAAATGCAATGTCAATCACTATCTACTGTCCTCCTGATTACTCTTTTCTCTTCCTGCTCATTAGTAATGTTTCTGTTCCTAATTCTTCCACACTCTGTAATCTTGTGTTTTAGTGGCTTTACTGCTTTGCTACCAATTAAAAAATAAATACAGAAAAATCAAATCTCAGTTTTATTTGTCAACTCAATTGAAAAAAGGTCAGTTTTTGACTAAGAGTTAATGAAAATCAAGATAGAGTAATGACGATATTTCATTAAAAATAGATAAAAAGGAATAGTGATAGAAAACAATGAGATTCAATGCAGATAGACAGAAAAATGTAGCAGACATCGTGAACTGGAACCTGAGTCATGGGTTGGAAGTGGTGAACGAGACTTGCCTGCATATCAAAGAGATAGAGTTCATCTGGGTATAGCATATAGGACTTCAATTTGAGAGAAGGCGAGTACCTCGTTCCATCAAATAAGACCATATTGAAGAAAACAGTGAGTTCTGTTAGGTTACATCATTTGATACATGCAATTGTGATAGAACAAACGAACGAATGAACAAAACGGATACAAAGCAGAAAATGATGATAAATACCAAGAAACCAGTGCAGAGGGGAGAAACGCCCAATCTGAAATTGCGTCCCACAACAAAGTTGCTAATTTCTTTTGACCACAAAAGATTATTGGAGAAAGAAAATGTCAAGTTCCCTGACCTCTAAACTATAATGAGAAAGGATAGACATCGACTTTCTGGGGTGCAGAGAGGGGCGTCAAATGGGAAGTTAAATAATTACTGTATATTGAAACAGACAAAATAATTCAATTGAATCCCTTTCAGACACACACACACAAAAAAAAAAAAAAAAAAAAAAATCTGGCATGGAAAATGAAATGACAGTAACAAATAAAAGATTTACATAAAGAAGAGGATTTTCTAAAAAATTAATGGATTTATGTTTAAGCTGACAGTGATTCCTGATTAAAAAATGGGGCTTCTATTTCAAATACGAAGTATCCATTATAATAATGCTTAAAGTAATAATAAAGAAACACTTTCCAGCTTCAATAGAGTTCAAATGTGTCTTTGAGTCCTTGTGGGGGACAAGTTATTTTCCACCCTCTAGACTCTCTCTCTCTCTCTCTCTCTCTCTCTCTCTCTCACACACAGGCGGGATGTGGCTAGCCTCTCACTGCTCTATCATGACTTTCATGGTTGATGCTTGAACGAGTTGCATTCTTTTGTTCTGCCAGACCTGTAGAGAAAAATGGTGATGAGAGGTGGGGGCAAAAAGTGCAGGCCAGCTATTTTTTCTTCTTTTTCAGTCTCTTCAAGGAAATGGATTGCATGGTTCCTTTTCTCAGCTGTTACACTGAGCAGTTGTGAAACAGACACCATCTCAGCAATGCCTACTTCAATTTCTTCTTAGTCCATCTGTCAACCTGTACGTCCAGCTCTATTGCACACTGTCTGCCGAATGGCTTCAGTCTGATCAATGTCTCTCTGATCTTTCTCCTCCATTTCCATGTAGAGGGCTAGTGCATCCCCCTCCAGGTACAATGGCAGCAGGCTAGCCACATTGTCCACCTGCTAAAATCTTGCCACCAGACTCACCTTTTTTAGCCATGCCACTACATCGCCCTGGCCGGAAAATGGTTTTAAAACTTTGCTGCTTATGCAAACCTTTGCCATAACCGCCAAAATAGCTTGTAGAGAAAAATGGTGATGAGAGGGGGGTCAAAAAGTGCAGAGCGGTGCTCGCTGGCAGGCCAGCTATTTTTTCTTGTTCTTTGGTTGCCTCAAGGAAATGGATTGCATGGCTCCCTTTCTCAGCTGTTACACTGGGCAGTTGTGAAACAGACACCAGCTCAGCCATGCCTACTTTGACTTCCTCTTAGTCCATGTGTCAACCTGTATGTCCAGCTCTATTGCAATAACCTTCACCTGCTATACCACTCACATTGTAGCAAATCACTCACCTTCCATCTGTATCCCATCAGTGAGAAGTAAGTTTCACTCGACCAGCTACTTCCCATGAATCACTTATCTGTGGGGCCATCTCCCAGGAGGATGTTTTCCTGATCACTATAACCTTAACCTGTTTAAGTCTAGAGTTAACCTTCTTCTCCTATCTGTACAAACTTCCTCCTAATGTAATCCTCTACCTTGAGTGGCCCCGAGGCCTTGTATAGGGTGAATCTTACTATAAAACAAAGTGAAAAAGAACACATAAAATTTTCTGGAATAAAAGATTTTTTTAAAGAAACTAAGCCAATGAAAGTAGCTTACAAATAGACAGAGTTAAATAATAAACAAACCAGACATTCAAAATAGCAAAAGTAAATTTTACAGGATGCAACTTAAGCCAAATATTTCCATGACAAATTATGGGAGTACAAGAAATAACCTTATTAAAATAAAAGAGGAATGGTTGTTACATCTAAAGAAGAACGTTGTATTGACTAGACGATAAGCGTAATATAAAACTAAATAAATATACATAATGTGGAAACATGCATAACATTGCAAATTACACAAAACCAAGGTAAGATAAGATTTATGTACTTTAGTTGTAAAGATTGACATCTTTACATGAAAAGGTTGCTAAGCAACTTCACAAATTAATATTACACTGCTAAAACAAGGGACACTAATTAATTACTTAAGTAATTACAGACATATACCAAGTCTACTGCTGATGTCGATATAAAGAAGACAACTATCAAAAAGATCTTTGACACATTAAGAAACACAGGACTTCTACTTGAAAATTTTCATCAGAGTTTTTGGGGTGGGAAATTTTCATTATAATATACTTTTCTATTAGGACCAGCAAAGCTCATCTTGATTGTTATATTCGCCTCAAAAGCTGATAGTAGACAATGTTGTAACTCCTACTATGATCTTTCAACCACTGTATATTTTTGGTCATTTTTCACCTTATACAAGGCCCAAGAGCCATTCAAGGTAGTGAGTTATTAATTAATGTTGTTTTGTAGACATAAAAGAAGGAGGTAAGAAGTGTAAATTATGATGACATATTGGGATAGATAGCGATTGACTGCAGATTTGAAGAGGTTAATATTGTAGTGATCAGGGAAGCCTTCTCTCAGGAAACTGCTCCAGAAAGTAGCAGCACTTGGGAAGAATCTGTCTCAGTGGAACTTGCTTTTTACCATTTGCCCTTGTGTACATAATATGGTGGATCTTGGCTGTAAATGTTTGATCTAGTGGAATGTAGCCTATCAGAACCGTTTCCTGGGAAATAGCAATAGAATAACAATAAGCTTGTGGTGTTTCATTACTCACAAGGTTGCATAGATACTTTTAAACACTGTCAAGGCTTGAAAAAGAGAATCAACCAGGCTTTATTTTTACAAAAGTCTGACCAAACCAAAAATTGAGTATCACTGCTATTTCTAATACAATTTCTAAACTTATCTATTTGTAAAAAGTAAAATAAGCTTCTTTTTTTTATCAAACAGTTGTGGGGGTCAACCAAAAAAAAAAAAAATTAAGTGTAAAAGTGGGTCCATGGGTAAAAAAAAGAGAGGGAACCGCTGCTATAGAGGCTCAAAATCTATCTATCTATCTATCTATCTATCTATCTATCTATCTATCTATCTCATTCTATTCATATCCATCTATCCATCTATCTATCTATCTATCTATCCATCTATCTATCCATCTATCTATCTATCCCATTCTATTCATATCCATCCATCCATCTATCTATCCATCTATCAATCCATCTATCTATCTCATTCTATTCCACATCTATCTATCTCATCCTATTAATATCCATCCATCTATCCATCCATCCATCCATCCATCCATCTATCTCATTCTATTCATATCCATCCATCCATCTATCTATCTATCTCATTCCATTCATATCCATCTATCTATCTATCCATCCATCCATCCATCTCATTCTATTCATATCTATCTATCCATCCATCCATCCATCTCATTCCATTCACATCTATCTATCTATCCATCTATCTATCTATCTATCTATCTATCTATCTATCTCATTCTATTCATATCTATCTATCTATCTATCTATCTATCTATCTATCTATCTATCTATCTATCTATCTATCTCATTCTATTCATATCTATCTATCTATCTATCTATCTAGCTAGCTAGCTAGCTAGCTAGCTAGTAATCTATCTATCTATTGATCTATCCAACTATCTATCTGATTTTCCCAAATATACACTTTTGACTACTTTCCAATACTGTTCGTAAAGTTTAATGGGCCTAGTCTATAATATGTTTAAACATTTTTTGAACTCATAGAACTTTTGCTTGACAATTAATATTTGTAGAAAATACATAATTTTCTTCATAATAATTTTCATAATCATATTAAAACATGATAATCCTGTAAAAATATACATTTTGATTTTATATTGCTATTCTTCTAAGTTTATATTTTTATTTCTTATATGTTGTAACTCACTGACTTTGAAAATGTCCATAAATTAATAATAAACTGGCACAAGTATATTGTTTCTGACAGTTTGGCATCAGCAATTCTTTATTATTCATTGATGGATCTGTGAGTAGTAAGATAAATCTTGATAACAGAGAATGTTTTTAAAAGACAGCCATAAGATAATATTTTGAACAATTTCTTAGATAAAATATTTTGGAATTCACTAATTTTTGTCAGCTTCATATCGTGATCTTGTTACTTTTAATACATTTCATTGCAAATATTTAAATGGAATTGTTTCTTTGGAAAAATAATTCTGAGAGGTTTCTTCTCCAGGTTGTTGGAAATCATGGTTCTCTGCAACTTCCAATCATTTGCAGGTCTTAGCAAAGTTTGTTTTTTCACCATCACCCCCACCCAGTTCCACCATCCTGTCACACAAGCTCGTTATATAGGTTTCCCTTTCACTTTCAATATGTCCTGTTAGTGTCAATTTTCCAAGCCTTCTTTCCTCATTATGTGCCCTAGAAATGTCAACTGTTCCTTTCTGATTCCAAGTATAAATGTAATTTATATTCCCATTTTCTTTTAAACTTTGTTATTGCTCACATGTTCAATCCATAGTATTCTCAGCATCCTTCTGTAGAACCACATTTCTATTGTCTCAAGTCTCTTCTGCGTCTTTGAGGAGATTGTTCAGCATTCACTGCCATACAGGAGGACTGATATTACATAGTGTACTCTATTCTTTGTTTTTGACAAAATTTTTCTGTTTCTTCATACTTTGCTTAACTTTTGGAAGGCATCTTATCCCAATGCATCTTCAGATTTCACTATTGCACTTTCCGTCCTCTGTTAAAACACTTCCAAGATATTTAAATTTTAGTACTTGTTTGATTTTGGTATCTCCAATTTATAATTTGTATGTTGGGTTCTTCCTTTTGCTAACGACCATGCATTCTGTCTTCTTGCAGATAGCAAAGCATATAATAATTCTATCTTAAAAAGAAAGACAAACCCTAACAAAGGTAGAGATAGGTTACAAAATAACTTTTAAAATAACCCCTCAGCATTGAGCATTTTCCAAATTGTAGAATATCTAGTTTGGTATAAAGACAATTGATTGTAGAAATGCAAAATAAAATTGACTCTCAGAGAATGATCTTTTATAATGTAGTGAGTTTTTGACAGTAGAGAAGATATGCAACAGCAGCAACCATTTGTCTTCTAGCAGCAGCAACAGCAGCAGCTGAGTGGTGCCTTTAAAATCCATGCTTTCAAAAATAAGCTCTGCATTGTCTTTTCTTACAACTATGCATAGCATCACAGACCCTAAATGGAAGTACTTCTCAGCAAATCAGTAAGTCGTACTTTCTTTGTTCAGGATTGTAAATTTTTGGACTCAGACTGTGTTGTTAATGAAAGCCAGACTATTAAATAATGTTGCCATATATTGTCTGCTGCTTCTGCTATATATCACAAGATTCTCAACAAAATCCAAAGAAAGATCTGCAATGTTATCAGTCCTAACCTGGCATCTCAGCTTCAGCCATTTTTCCTACCTCTGTGACTTGACTTCCCTTCTACTTTTCTATAAATATTTTCATGGCAATTGTTCTAATGAGCTCTCCTCTTTCATACCTTGACTGCATTAATTTAAGTTTACTACAAGATTGGCAACTCTGTTTCATACATTTTATGGTTCAAATAGCTAAATGTAATTTTAAGTTTTTTTTCTAATAGTGTCTCTTTTTGCACTTCTGACCTGCGGTAGTCCAGGATATGACAATAAACCACATCCAGCAAGAAGGCTTCAGATAGGGTGATTGGAGATTTTGAGAAGTGGGAACTACCTCTTAAATGCTGTCATTCCCAGGTCCACCCTACACCTGCTAGGGTCCCAGCTATGGGTAAAAAGTGAAATCTCCAAACAGAACACTATGAAAAAAAAAAAAAGAGATTTTTATTATAAAAATACCAGCAATTCATTTTTATATAAAAAATTACCAATGATACATATTTATGGTAAAATTATCAACTATACATTTTTAAAGCAGAACACCAACAATACATTTTATCTGTAGTTGACACCACATAACTTTGTTCAGAATATCTAAATTTCAGCATTAAATAACTCATAGAGGTGTGGATATGTCACTAAACAAAATCATCCACAGGTAATCTTAGCTGTTGAACTTTCTTCTGATTTCTTGCTTCATTACAACTTTCAAACTTTAAATGCAATGTCAGCTGCCATCTTTTGTTCTTCTTGAAACCTGTTCTTTTATTGTCCTTTCTCCTCACTAGTGTTTTCTCTTTCTCTTTTCCTCCCAGTAAGCCCTTGTGTCTTAATAGCATTATCACCATCTTCTCTCTTCCTGAATGATGTTCTTTTATTGTCCTTTCTCCTCACTAGTGTTTTCTCTTTCTCTTTCCCTCCCAGTAAGCCCTTGTGTCTTAATAGCATTATCACCATCTTCTCTCTTCCTGAATGATGTTCTTTTATTGTCCTTTTCTCCTCACTAGTTTTTTCTCTTTCTCTTTCCCCTCCCAGTAAGCCCTGTGTCTTAATAGCATTATCACCATCTTCTCTCTTCCTGAATGATGTTCTTTTTTATTGTCCTTTCTCCTCACTAGTGTTTCTCTTTTCTTTCCCTCCCAGTAAGCCCTTGTGTCTTAATAGCATTATCACCATCTTTCTCTTCCTGAATGATGTTCTTTTATTGTCCTTTCTCCTCACTAGTGTTTTTCTTTTCTTTCCCTCCCAGTAAGCCCTTGTGTCTTAATAGCATTATCACCATCTTCTCTCTTCCTGAATGATGTTCTTTTATTGTCCTTTCTCCTCACTAGTTTTTCTCTTTCTCTTTCCCTCCCAGTAAGCCCTTGTGTCTTAATAGCATTATCACCATCTTCTCTCTTCCTGAATGATGTTCTTTTTATTGTCCTTTCTTCTCACTAGTGTTTTCTCTTTCTCTTTCCCTCCCAGTAAGCCCTTGTGTCTTAATAGCATTATCACCATCTTCTCTCTTCCTGAATGATGTTCTTTTATTGTCCTTTCTCCTCACTAGTTTTTTCTTTCTTTTCCCTCCCAGTAAGCCCTTGTGTCTTAATAGCATTATCACCATCTTCTCTCTTCCTGAATGATGTTCTTTTTATTGTCCTTTCTCCTCACTAGTGTTTTCTCTTTCTCTTTCCCTCCCAGTAAGCCCCTTGTGTCTTAATAGCATTATCACCATCTTCTCTCTTCCTGAATGATGTTCTTTCTTTTAAGCCCTTTGTCCATTTCACCATCTTCCTGAATGATGTTCTCCTCACTAGTGTTTTTCTTTCTCTTTCCCTCCCAGTAAGCCCTTGTGTCTTAATAGCATTATCACCATCTTCTCTCTTCCTGAATGATGTTCTTTTATTGTCCTTTCTCCTCACTAGTGTTTTTCTTTTCTTTCCCTCCCAGTAAGCCCTTGTGTCTTAATAGCATTATCACCATCTTCTCTCTTCCTGAATGATGTTCTTTTATTGTCCTTTCTCCTCACTAGTGTTTTTCTTTTCTCTTTCCCTCCCAGTAAGCCCTTGTGTCTTAATAGCATTATCACCATCTTCTCTCTTCCTGAATGATGTTCTTTTATTGTCCTTTCTCCTCACTAGTGTTTTCTCTTTCTCTTTCCCTCCCAGTAAGCCCTTGTGTCTTAATAGCATTATCACCATCTTCTCTCTTCCTGAATGATGTTCTTTTATTGTCCTTTCTCCTCACTAGTGTTTTCTCTTTCTCTTTTTTTCCCTCCCAGTAAGCCCTTGTGTCTTAATAGCATTATCACCATCTTCTCTCTTCCTGAATGATGTTCTTTTATTGTCCTTTCTCCTCACTAGTGTTTTCTCTTTCTCTTTCCCTCCCAGTAAGCCCTTGTGTCTTAATAGCATTATCACCATCTTCTCTCTTCCTGAATGATGTTCTTTTATTGTCCTTTCTCCTCACTAGTGTTTTCTCTTTCTCTTTCCCTCCCAGTAAGCCCTTGTGTCTTAATAGCATTATCACCATCTTCTCTCTTCCTGAATGATGTTCTTTTTATTGTCCTTTCTCCTCACTAGTTTTTTTTCTCTTTTCTTTCCTCCCAGTAAGCCCTTGTGTCTTAATAGCATTATCACCATCTTCTCTCTTCCTGAATGATGTTCTTTTATTGTCCTTTCTCCTCACTAGTGTTTTCTTTCTCTTTTCCCTCCCAGTAAGCCCTTGTGTCTTAATAGCATTATCACCATCTTCTCTCTTCCTGAATGATGTTCTTTTTATTGTCCTTTCTCCTCACTAGTGTTTTCTCTTTCTCTTTCCCTCCCAGTAAGCCCTTGTGTCTTAATAGCATTATCACCATCTTCTCTCTTCCTGAATGATGTTCTTTTATTGTCTTTTCTCCTCACTAAAGTCTTCTCATTCACTTTCACTTCTAGTAACCCCTTGTGTCTTAGTGGCATTATCATTTGCTTGGGTGAAATAATTAAACAAAAATATAATGGACTAGACTAACTTGTCAGTCAGGATGCCCCTCGGTGTCTACATACTTCTTCAAATCAGCATGGTTTACCATGATGGTCTTTAGCTCTTGTGTTGTTTCCATCTCTAGCAGTGTTTCGACTAATGTGAGTCTTCTTAATACTTTTCTTGTTCTTCTAACTTGACAGTCAGATTACTAATTTGCTGGCAATTTTGTCATCATTACTG